AATTTTATGTTATAAGTAAGTACCAACTACTTTACGCTGTTAAAAAAAAGGATCGATATTTTGGAGCCGAATATAAATTGCAAAACCTAGCATCTTCGATAGCAAAACCTTCACACGCGGTTTTGTTATGAATGATGATACAACGCATAAAAGGCATAGTTGTGGTATTGTATATAGTACTGGATCACTGCAATTTTATCACGATACGCTCCACTAGACTCAAGGCCTTTGTGCTTTGGACTCCGCTCCATGCGTAGAATACAATAGTGATAATTATTATATCAGTCGTACCCCGCTACATTCACCCCCTACCAAGACGAGAAGTTTGTTGAAATCATAGACGCTTCTCCTGTAATTACTTGTCCCAAGATTTGAAACAGGTACACTACTCGTGATCTCAGGAAGCACGAATTGGGCCGGATAGTACCAGGAAGAGCAAGACTCCTGTGGCCGACGAGATATTCCATATTTTAGCAAAGAGCTTCAGACATGAGTAGTTCGATTCCGACTGATATATGGCGGAAACCAGTTTGAGCCCCCCAGCTGCGGGCTGACGATTCATTTGATGTTATTTGCATTAAGCAGTCCCATGCTTGATGATCTCATCTTGCTTCCTGACCAGCACATTTGCCACAGCTAACTTCAAAAACGTCGCCCACGATTAAGAAAATGTAACGTAAATGTCGTACACTTTTCACAGATGAGCCTTAGTCTCAAAGAGCCCGCACTAACGAACACAAAGATACTACGCTCCAGCCAGAAGCGGGACCGAGAACCTTAACAGTAATCAGCTGTCTAGTTTGCTCTGAAAGTATGATCTTGAGACCAATTGGATTTTAGTTGCGGCAGAGCCGCCAATATCTAAAGCCTAGGCTTTCTTAATTAGTGTAGGAATATCTGATTAATATAGCAAAACCTAATCAATATAGTAATATGCATTACTACAGGCAATCCTGCTACGTGGTGGCTTCTTGTCACGTTGTAGCGTGGTTACACTAGCTTGTGCGACCCGCCCTTTCAAACAATAGTTCGTGTAACCCCGTTACAAAGACCCAGTGAAAGTTGCTATATATTATCTTATTACGCGGCTATACCTACTCGACCCTGACTAAGATATTACATTGCTTTATTCCGCTGGGGTATTTTTCTTGATTATAATTCTTGATGTATCTTGTACGAGTCGCCATCCCGAAGTCCTTATTGGCTGTTGTCGGTTATATTTAGCATGCAGCCGACATTTCTTGCATGTCCTGTACGATTACGATTTTGTCCGCTGTGGGGCTCGAACCCGCGCCACACAACGTTAGATCCAGAAGCATTGACCACTCAACCCACGGCACCGGGTCTTCGTTACAAAGACCCAACGATGTTCCCATTCACTTTTATAGTATCTAGCTAATTACAATGGTACCAAACGTAAAACTAAAGTCGTATACTATTTACACACATTCGACCACACTGGAGGTCAAATTCCTTGTATCTTCGTATGACAGAGCGCAAAACCATACGTTCAGTGGGCAACCACTGCGCTTGGAGTCCATTTCCACTCTTCGCACTTTCCATGCCAGCTCATCGGAGCGGGTACACTCCGACAGTTAATTACGTGCACTTACATTAGTGACTAATTAGCCTCCAATGTCTGTTCTTGAAACTGATGCTCTTAACGAAATTTGCAGTGAGGATATCGACTTGTCGCAATTATTCTCCCAGTCCTGATGGAACACTTTCGCTCTCACTTAACAACACACGGCCTAACCGTTCACCTACAGGAAGGCGATCATTGCTATTAGTCCGACATTTACATGAAGAATTTACTCTGTCCCCTAACAAGCAATAAGGACCCCACCGGGATGTCACGACGATGATCAGTGTATCCCCAATGAGATGAAGCTGCAACTGGATGGCCAGCTTGCTCAAGTGAAATAGTAAAGGTCTCGACTCTCGCCGAAACGATCACAACGTGACTTATCGTTTGATGCCATCTAAAGTTGCTGATTACGCTAAAGCGAAGCCTTTACACGCCTTGGCCTTCCAATCACATGTCGCTCCTCTAACATTTTCTGAGCTTACAGATGATCACTCTTCAGAAGTACCGCTTGCGCCTTAAGCAGCAGTGGCAGGGTAAACCCGTGCCGTACAAGAGATATGTATTTGGATGACAAAGCTGGCAGGTGTGCCGCTTGGAACTTTACTCCACTGAAGCAGTTCGTGAACGAAATGCGTTCACCAACCCGCCCTGACGCTTTACAAGCCAGCTTTAGCAAAGCGAATACCCGGCTAGATCATCTATTTGTATTTTCCTTTAAAGAAGAAGGGGCGGACGTCGAGGCGGGCAATAGCCTCCAGTTTCGCTCGCTCGTCTCTAATATACAGCTACTACAGCTATCCACCAAGTGACAAACTTGTGTCGCGGTCGGCCTTCGATCACTGGTGGGGAGTACGCTACGACGAGCAATCCTATCTGAGACAACGGCTGAGGGTGTGCCAGGGCAATGGAGCCTCAAATATCCATGATCTTTCAAACTGAAGATGCCCTTCTCAATACTATATACCGAGAGCAGTCCTGATGTACATGTTGATCTACTTAAAAAGTCATGTGGGTAGGATTAATTCTATTTCTGCAAGGAGTGACGGCGAAAATCGAGCCGCCCCCCCTACCGCGACTGGTTCTCTTTAGCTTGCTCGGTTGTGGCGGCACGTCGATTCTCTACGAGAGCTCGTCGTACGCTCATCAATGAAAAGTATGTGATCTTCAGCGGTTTTTGACTTGCCCATCGCACTCCGAGGATAAAGGCACTTCCAGTAGCTCAGAACCGTGCTGCTGCCCTATAGTCGAGAATAGTGCGCAACCAGGCATGATAGATATACTGCTTCTTTATCAACAGAGACAACCAGGTTCAGCTGACTCATGACAGTGGGGTTGTAACATGACTTCAGTAGGCAAACATAAAGCTCAGATTGTGTTCGTATTATCTTTGGGAGGTCAGAGTATAGTTAAGTATCTATTTTACCAAGACCGTGAACATTCCAATGTAGCGCGATCGCAACTTTCTTCGTTAGACCATAAACATTACAGTAGGTAGGCTAGCTTCAAGCTGCCCCATGACATATTTGTTTTTTTTTCATCTGCATATGGTCACGGCATGTTGCTTCTGAACATCTTGGCCATCATCCATAAATCACGCATCTGGCGCAGGGTGTTTTGATATCATTGATATGAAATCTGTGATTTCGCTAAAAAGTGCAATCGTGCGAACATCAGCAAGTCAAATTGGATCGACAGCCCCATCCCTACATAGATCAATACCACTTCGTGATGTATAATCCGGAGATTGTTCGGTAAAATGGGGCAAAGCCGGTAGACGCACAACTGCGATATAAAACGCAAACTTAATGAGTGGAGGCTACTCGCATCAGAACCTCAACTCTCCTTTGAAAAATAATCTCCACAACGTGAGCTAATGCGCTCCGTCAGATTATCTTATTGTAACTGGTTTTCACGTGCCTGGTAGGAAGGGTGTGGCTCACACAATACGGTGTTATCACAAATTTGTGTGGGCTACGTTAGATGGTGTGTCCGCACAATGGCAAGGTTACACTAAAACAACAAAGCAGTAGGTGGCTAGAACAGCCAGCAGTTACACATTATATTAGTTTTTTGATATAGATAGGAAAATCTAAAGATTTAGAAACCGGCGGATTCGCCGCAAATAAAACCGAGAAATGCGTATAAATTTACAACGGAAGGTTTAATTAGCCTTGGGTTAAGGTTGTAGTTACTCTTGGAGTAAGCAAATTGCGATCCGCTACACTCGTACCGGTTCTAAGTATAAAACGAATGTCACCAACCTTCCTTAATCGAAAGAGCGACGGCAGCCTCGCTGCACTTATTGTGGATGACATATTATAGTTTGTGTCTAGCACCTTGAGCAAATTTGTGCCGAGCTAAGCTGTCAATCGCGAATCTATAACCGTCCGGCAAGTCATGTTGGCGGAAAAATTATCGAGGGACATTGGCTGTATTCTCTCAGGTTAGCATCACCGCTGACATTTTCGATACGAGCCATCTGACGTGGGCGGCTATCACGCCGGTATTATTCGACGCGCTTTTGAAAGGCCGAGTGAATTAATAGGTATGGAATATAAAACTATACATAAATGAGCAAGAAAGTGAACGACACCGACCAATGTGTCGATGGTTAGTCGTCAACACTTCTAAACGCGCGTATAAATTGCTTAACTTTCTGTTCATGTTGGCTCATCAATACATAGCGATCACCAAGCCGTATGTTGTTCTCTTTCAATACGACAGGTATCATGTGCCACGTGTAGTATTCTGTACTCCAGGTTCTCATCGCGAAACCCAACTACACGCTTAGTATCATGTGGGCTAGTGATGAAATGCTACAAACCTAGTGCGTGCAACCGCACGCTTTGATCGAACGGCATTAACAAATCGATGGTTATCCAAAACTTTCAACAACGCGGCACGTGTTGCTTCAAAATTGAACGCTGTACGTAGCGCGTCATAAATTGACGACGTTATATCGTGAACGCGACGATTCATTGGTGGGATGACGTGAAGGCGCCTCCGCTACAAAATGCGGCGACTCGCTCTATGCCTACCCGCAAACGTACACTAGGTAAAGTATGATAACAAACTCGCCATTTTCTGTGCAAATTTTGTGGTGACGTTGTGCACAGCGACGTATAAGCTGAATATATGAATATATACACAAACGGCTAAGCTCAAAGCAAGTGCAGTCTGAACGTGACAAGGGCATACTTCACCGCAAGTTGTTCGCTTTAAACTTGTAGAACTCAAGCTCGACCGCGAGTACGTGCCCATCGGTATTTGCTTTGTGGGTAGACGTGCCCCATATAAAACTCAGTGCTGCCAATAACGGATGCATTCATGACGGATGACGGCTCATCTGCTCCTTCGGTACTAAACGAACCAGTTCGGTGACTTCACCATCTCGCAAATTTTTGCACACATCCACAATTAAAAATTCAAGCACCAGCTTGTCGCTGTCATTTAACGTCTTATTGTAGTACGGATTGTGATCATGGTATACTGACGTTCTTTTACATCTCAAAAGAAGTACGCTTTGAGGACGCGATATCTTATGCTTTGCGTTGTCTCATTCCGAGACCGAAATCCGCTTTCGGTTAAGATTCGTTCTAAACGCGGGATATTCTCGCCAGTCAGTTGAGCAATCTCATGTCTTGGCCGAAAGCTATCGCTATTTTGCACGCGCCGAAAGTGCTTTCACTCACTGGCATAGATGATTTCAGGATTCACCGAAAACCACCTAAAGAAAGTGCGTGGCGCTTTAGCCTTCGGCTTCCAATCGTTTCATGACTTGTGATGTTTTGACACTTCAACAACTATTTCGCAGATCCGGATCCAGGACCGCTACAACGCTCTACGATGTCAAGGTCCTTAGACCACACCCAGCAACTTACGTCACTTTCACTGGTGACCCCATTGCACGGCGCATGGATATCGAGTTCGTATTTGAAATGCTCAATGTCTCCGAGTACTGTTTACTGCCTTTTGGCAGTCCTACATCGTTCGTAGTAAAAAGAACTTCTGAATCAATCAGAACATTTTCCTGACTCGGTACTTTCGTATGGCAGCCGGGAGAGAAAGGGCACGCAGAGCATAGGATATTGGTACTGCTACTGAACATGTTAGAGCGAGTACGACATTTCTGCTTGGCACTTTATCTCATTCTATCATCAACATGGCAAGGTTCACGCTCGAAAACGTACACTTTAAGCACCACTTCCAATACCCAACTTGGCCCTCAACCTCCAACGTTGTAGTCCGTTTACAATGTGGCACCCATCGCTTCCTCTAATAAAACACGGAGGTCTCGGTCGGAACCGAATAAGCTCAAAAAAGCTCAACGAAAATAGAGCTATTACCACCTATGAGAGAGGATGCGGCCTCATTGCGGTGATAAGAGTTGTTGGCTGATTACGTCCGCGAGCTCCGGATTTAGCGATTGGCCACCAGCAACTTTAAGCACATCCGATTCGACTGGTCACGTTGTGTGCACACACGTCACATGTTTCTTTGAAAAAAACGATGTGGAAAGGACCTCTTGTACAGATGTGCAGCACATTGGTGCCCACGGACTTCGATTCGGGATCACACGCGCGCAGCGCTACCGCCATATCTATAGATGGCTGAATATATGGTTATTAATACCTTTCTCGCTGAATTTAAGTAGTTCTGCCCCGCCCGCGCAGAGCAAAACCTTCATCATCAGCAGCCTAAACATATGCTTTCTCACCGGCGCTCCTGGTAGTGTCTGATTGCGCATTTAAATGTCTTTTTCAGGCAAGCGATTACCGTATCCAACCCTGTAACGGGGTTACACGCACCCTGGTAACAGGGGTGTGTCACACGAGATGGGCATGGTGTGACTGCACCCAATCAAGAATACAGTATGTGGCTGGGTAGCCAGTGGTTATGCATGTATTTAGAATATACTATACATATTTAGAGAAACCGACACATTTAATATTAGGCGGCTTTGCCGCAGATAAAAATAAATAAACATAAAGTTACATATTAGCATTGGGTTACTGCAATAATTACTCTTGGAGTAAGCGGATTGCGATCCGCTAGCTCGTACTTGTTCTAAGTACAGAACGAACGGTCGGTGACACTAAGCGCAAAGCTACGGCAGCCCCGCTGCAACTCCTTTAAATGCCATTTCCCTGATATATTTTTTGAGAACAATAGGCAAAAGCGCTTCAAGCGTGTTTTCTTGGACAGGTACCCGAACATCTCATATTTAAACTTATGGGAGCCATAGTCCTTTTGTAACTTGAACTTGGGAATTATCATATGTATTGGAATAAAATATTAAGAAATATAAAGATGAAAAAAGTTTACAAGAAACAGGTATTGTTCTTTCAATGGTATTGCTGGTGCCTGCGTGTGCTGCAAAATGCAACGGAATTGCCAGCAGAGAATGTACGAATCAAAGAGATCGAGGTTGACGAACTCACACATATTGAATTTGTACGCTACACCCAGGAGCGTGACCAAGAGTCTCTACGGTAAATAGTTATCTAATGCTCTCTGACATTTTAGAACATGACATTTATTTTAGAAATTATTCCATGTTTGAGATCCTATACATCCTTACATATAAGTTGATTAATTCTGTCTTTATCCTTTGCAAGCAGCTCGCGTGTTTTGCAGACCTCTCGTTCTGTGGACCTCTCCTTGACGTAGTTCTATCATTTATATGTACCAAAACTTTGATACTGATGTACAGTCACAGTTACACGAAAGCGCGATGTTGTTATGTGCAGCTACACGAATGCGCGATGTTGTTTTGTGCAAAATGCAATGTTAGGTGACCATATACCGCAGTACCTAACGTTACAAGCAGACGACACTTTTAACAAGGCCGCTCTGATATCGCTTTGCAAACGCATGTGCATCGTGCCCGGCGATCGTATGCGACTTAGTATACTGCTAACTATTGGCGTATTTTTTGCAGTGGCAGTGCCGCACATGAAGAAGATATGCCCAATCTATATGCAGCCGTTCTATTCGGTGTGAGAGCACAATGAACGACACCAACATACAGACTGCAACATGCGCTGCTAGACTGATTCGTCCGAAAGTAGGGTCGTGTCAGGGGTCTCACCAACTCTGCTTTTTTCTGACCTGCATGAGTCTTGACGACGATGCGATCGCACTGCTCTTTAAAAGCTAGCTAAAATCGAAAGCTCACTGAACTTATATGTTTAGGCTGCTTGAGCATATCAGACTTACAGCAGATTTATTTTAGAGCACAGGCACATTTCAACACAATCCAGCTTGCGCTGCAGACAAAACGTGAAGAAAGCCAGTCCGTTGTCTGAGCTATTCCTTGCTATAAATATAGAGCCGCTTGTAGCCTGCTGCAGTCGCTCAAGTTGTGCGGCACATGTCTTAGATCAGACTACACATCTATTGCAAACACCTCGAAACTTCTGGGCGGCTTTGCAACAAATATGCTAGTTCGACTTGATATTTTGGACGAATAGTAAACGAGGTCTGGCGTTGACAACAATCAGTCTAATTTAAAGAACTGGCCCTGAAGTCAAATTACGACTGTTCGTTGCTCTCCGAAAAAGAAGCGACCAGTCGCACAGAGAAAGTGAAGTACCACGTCATTCCGTTTATTGTTGCTTGGTCGGCTCTTGGCAGCCCATTCGACAATATATTTTTCTACTGACGCCATACTCAGCACGTGATGTTTCTGATGGCGATGATGTATATTTGGCGCATGACGCTTAATAGTTCCGCGTACAGTTAATAGCATCATTGTTCGGTGAATTGAAACTGTGCGGTATCTTGTGTCAACAACGAAGAGATGACAGTCTTTGTTACCGAGTTTGAAGGCGCAAGTCCAGTATCAGCGTCATCAACTGTTATTGCAGTTCATGACGGCTGCAAGTATACAAAAATGCGAAGCTGAACACTAGAAAACACAGAGCCACTAAATATGATACTATCACTCAGTGGCATATGCGACGCTGATGAGTTTGTCAATGAAATGGTGATGCATTTTAGAGTAACAGATTATTTTGACACGCAACATGAACTTTGTGGTTCAAATTTTGCAGGAATACCCGAAGTGCGAGCCCCTTTCGTATAAGCACGCTTCATTTAATATCTATTCGTAGATCTCAATTTGAAATCTTCAATCAAGGCAGCCGTAAGGTCGCAAACCAGCTTAGGACATCACCGGTACATCAAAAGTTCCTGAAACACAGCATGACACATGCCAATGGGCTTCAATATACGACCGATAAGGAATCAATGCGTTAAAATTGTATCCACCTGATCCGGCCAAAATTCACCTAACGCATCGTCAACGTCAAACCTGCGCCTGGTCAGTTAAGGAAGTAACTGCAAATGCTGAGCAAGAAAACACACGCAGGGTACCGAGCGTCTGGGTGCACGAGAATCTATACTGCGGTGCTTCTCAACGAATGCTGCCACGCTTGAATTGAATGAGCGGGGAGAAGACTTGACGGTCTCTGCATTTTGTGTTGGCGTTTTTAAGTGTTAAATCAACATTAGTACTGCTACTGCAGCCCCACTGAATGATTGTGCATTCAACAAAGAACATACCAAGTTGCTAGTAGGGGTCAACAAAAATCTGTGCGAGATTCAACTTCTCGTCTTCAAAAATCCACTGTACTGTATTCTTAGTGCGTGATTGCTATCAGCTCCTCAAAATTTGCCGGACCATGCAATCAGAACTATGTGCGTAATGGATCTGATGCGTTCGGGACAACTGCACAACTTGTTCGTCGAATGCACTCTTGCGGACACATCACACATCTATATCTTTGATTCTGTACACGGCCGACACGGAACATGTTCGCCATGGCGAAGAATGTGTGGATGCGTGACAAGCGAAAAAATGCAGCGAAGACATAGTTGTAGCATTTGACGTTTTGCGCCACCTTGATGCTTCATGTTCTCCGAACCGGGCGCGATTGACGCGCGTGAAGCAGTTGTGGCAAAGTTGGCGACAGACAGTATTGTGATTACTTTGACGAAAATAGTGCAGACATTGAAGGTTATCGAGGTCTTACGCAAGACGCACTTTTGTCACAGGAAAGCGAGGAAATGAATGAAACGTAATGTATTGTGTCGGCGAGCGACTAGTTAATGTACCATATGGACCCGGCAAATCTCAAAGCATTCTACAATAGTACAATAGTACTACTCGATCAATCAGGATAATGCAAGATACAAGACAAGAGACCGATTCCGAGTCTTGCGGCATTACTGTATCGGTTTAAAATCCCAAATCAGCTTCATGCTGCATATATGCTGTTAGGCTTGCCAGCTTCGTCACAGAATTTGCACGCCAGAAAATGAGATGAATTTCACCGTCGCTTTTGTGTCTGAAGTGGTCTTTAAGGCTTTCACAGCACACCTTTAATACTATGAACGGCGGTCATTCGAGAGCAAATATTAGCGAATCTTGACCTAAAATTGGAAAGTATTATAAATTAACACATTCCTAATATTTCGAAAGAGGCAAAACCATTTTATAAGCAAAAAGATTGTATCATTTTGTGGTTTTTTGGATAAAATGTATACTATTAGGCAAAACCATTTGATAAATGTATTTATTTTGTGTTTCTTAGGATTAGAATGTATACTATTAAGCAGAAACAATGTATGAACCAAAACAAATGTATTATTTTGTTTTGTTTGGATAAAATGTATAGTATTAGGCAAAACCATTTTATAAACAAAAAAATTGTTGATTTTTGTGTTTTTTTGGATAAATGTATAGGTATTAGTCAAAACCATTTTATAAAAGGTTTTTAGTATGTATTGGCATAAAAATCTGTTTATTTTGTTTATATATCAAAGGGAGAATAAAAAAATGCCCAACTTTTGCCATATATAAAAAAATACCCCAGCACGTAAATTATCACCGGGGAGCCGTAATACTACACAACAG